AGTCGATTCCTGCCAAAGATGTAAGAGCTAAATCTAATCATCAGCATTATTAAACTAACCCAAATTGAAGGAGAATCTGTCCTCTTCTGAAATATTAAGAACTAGCTTGTACTCTAAAATATTTATGTTATGAAAGAAAAAAAAAGATTTGTTTTTTGTTATAAAAGATAAAACAGATTTGTTTTTTGTTATAAAAGATAAAGAGGGGAACCAGCAGTTAGCGTAATGGCTATGTTGCTGGACTCCCACGTAGTTGACCGCGGTTCACGTCCTGGACCCGGTGGCTTAAAACTCACGCCGGGCGCATATGCATGCATGCCCAAGATCCCGAGAGGAGAATGGAGGAGAAGGGATTGCGGCATGACCATCCCCTCTTGGGGGGTGATTTCTCGCTTTCTGTCTCTATGTCTCTCTCTGTCTGTCTGGCGAGCGCACATGCCCTGTAGTGAAAAAACCTCTCCAAAAAAAAAAAAAAGATAAAGAGGAACTGTTTTCTCCCAGCAAAAAAGATAAATAAATAAAATATGCAAAAGGGCATGACCACAGAATGAAATGTGTGATGCACTGTTGGATCTTGGACCACATTGTTTTTATTTTACTATAAAGAAATTGGAGTGTAAAATTTAATCAACTGTCTAGATTAGATAAAAATATTGTATTGCTGTTCATTTCCTGATTTGATTGTTGCATGGTGCTATATAAGAGGATATTCTTGTTTTTAGGAAATACACAAACTACAGTATTTGGAAGTAAAGGAACACTGATTATTCAAATATTTCAGAAAAAAATATATATATATGTACACACATATACAGATTGAAAACACGAAAGAACAAGACAGAATTAGAAAGAAAATATGATAAAATATAAGTATAAATCAGAATCTAGGTAAATGATATAAGGAAATTTTGTACTACATTTGCAACTTTTTTGAAGGTCTGAAATAATTTCAAAATAAAAATTAAAGGAAAATAAGTTTAGAAGTACTTATATGGAAGATCCCTATTTCTTAGAACAAGATTTAAAAAGCATTTTCTTTCCCCGTAGTACTCAACCTCTCGTCAGACACAAGTGGTGTTCTTAATAGCGTATTGACCAGGACAGAGATGATTTAAAAACATGCGATTCAACCTCAAATTAAAGGTCATGAATCATACACTCAACTGATATATATATGTTTCATTTGTGCCTCTTCGCATTCTGACTTATTTCCATCTGGATTTCCAGCTGATATTTAAAAATCCAGAGATTCCCCTTTAAGGGGAAAAATAAATCCAGATTTGAATATTTAAAAAACCATCAGAAATCTGGCAATTTTGTGCTCAAGTAGCAGGAATTAGTCACAGCAGAGAAACGGCTACCCCATCTAGGTGATGTTGGTGACAGTGCTCCACAGACTGCCACTGGTTATTTTCTCCCACACCGAGATCTGATGTGAAGGGCTGCCTGCCACACATTGCACTTGCACAATTTTTTGTCAATTTTTGCACGATTTTGTCTCCACATGTGACACCAGATCTCTGCCACTGAGTCCTTAATACAGTGAGGGATAGAAGAGAGGCAAAGGCCTCTCTCACTCCAGCTTGCTTCACTCACTCAGGTTCCCTGTCTGGCCCCTGTGGATGATGGAGTTTGAGACCCTTGACTTCACCCATTGTGAGGGCCTGGACTGACTTCTAAGAGCAGCAAGATACTTTGGCTCAAACTGAACCCCCCCTCTCATCACTGAGAATTAAAGTTAATTCCCTGTTTGAACAAGCTTCAGGGAACCTTCGATACATCAATATTTACTAGTGATGGAGCAGATGCTGACAAGGAAGGCACTATAGGAAAGAATCATTAGATAGATTTCTTTTTTTCTTATTTTTTCTGACAGAAGCTAGGAGTCAAATAATAAGATAATGGGAATGAAGACTTGGCAGGAACTGGAAAGATGGGAGAGGTTTATTATCTTTCCTTTGGTCCTGGAATCCCTACAGAATGCTGATCATAACAGTTTCTTTAATTAGCTTCTACCCATCATGGTTAAAAATAAGAGAAAATAAGTTTCAGTATGATCTTACTTCTCCAATAGTAATAGAAAACACTTGTTAACTATATGCCACGCTTCATTTCTTATTATTGTACATACATGGGTGCATTCGGTCTTCACAAGAACCCTATGAGGTTGGTTACGATTTCATGCCATTTTCAAGTAAGGAAACTGAGGCAGGAAAATATTAAGTAATCTGCCTATAGTCATAAAAGTGAATCATGAAGTCAGGATTCTGCCTCAGAGACTATTTTCTTAATCTCTACACATTTTCTACTATAGGGCTCTAATGAACTATTTGCGATGAAATCTGAAGTGATTCTGTAAAGGTTCAGAATCCAAAATATTCCCACATCTACCACTACCCATACTTTAACCACCATGAACATCGGAAGCAGAAAACAGAACACAGTCATTGCTTCCTGTTAATGAAAATCAGGATCTAAGCTGGTGACAGCTAGTTTTAAGTAACTCCGAGTTGAGGAGCTGTGTGACAGACCATTGAATATGGCTAGAATCGTGTGTCCTAACTTTGGCCTGGGGCCCTTTGTGTGGTTCTCTGACGCCCAGTCTTCCAAGGAGTAGCCCTCTGGCCATATTTCTGCAGGATAGAGCTTAGTCTTTCGATCCAAATCTACTTTCGGAAATAATGAACAGTTGACTACAGATGCTTTGTGGAATGAGGAGCGATGACCTAGCTGGCAATCCGGACACACAGGAGCCCTTGCAGACATTCGACAATCTGCACTCCAACAGGTCCTCATAGCAGGCTCACTGCGTACCATTCTTTCTGCAGGAAAAAGCTGTTAAGCAGAAAATGTATGTACCCCTGCTACCTCGGGAATCTCTCTCCCTTCGCAGGAGAGTGTTCACAGAGCACAAGGTCAGGAAATTAAAAGGCTGCCCTGGGCCTCAGAAACTCGACCTGCTTTCTCCTTTCTCTGAAACTCAACCGTCCAGATTCCCAAAGTCTGTTTTATTTTGTGCTTTTCTACCACTTTACTGATTTCCCTTGGTGTTGGCCTGACTTCACGGTCACCAGGTGTCCTCTGTCCTCCCATCAACTGACACTTAATGAGCAGATGGTGCAAATGGCCTGGCAGTAATGTGATGCCCGAATGGGTGGGCAGGAAAAGGGGAGAGGAAGCAATTTGAAAGAAAAGGACAGATTGGCTTGGTGTTTGTACCACATAGAATGAGCAACTGCAGAAAGAGGATGGGTGCAACTATTTTTAAACATAAAAATAGGACTATCTTTGCTTAAAAGGAAGAAGAAATGGATGTGTGAATGCAGGACTCTGACTTCTTTGTAAGGGGAAACAACCAAACCCAGGCACACCATACCAAAAGATTTTGTGAGATTTCAAGGTCCTGTTGGTCAAGATGACTTGTCTTTGAAGTTTGACCACATAAGCATAGCATTCTTTTCATCTGTTTAATCATCCCATAATGCACTCCACATCAGATGTCCTACTCAGCCTGTAGGATAGTCACTACAAAATAATAGCATTTATAACCGGAAAGAATCATTAAGGTCCTCAAACCTAGGGCTTCTTCAGGCAGTGTTCATAGCAGTTGCCTGAGCTCTTTTTCAAGTACATGTTCTAATTCTGTGGGTCCAGGGTAAGGCCTGAGAGCCTCTAACTTTAGTGAACTTCCAGGGGATACTGATTTGTGGATCACATTTTGAGTAGGATGCATTAAATCTGCTCTATTCTGTTACAGTTGAGTAAACAAAACTCCCAATATTCAGAGATGTGTCCAGAATCACACAAAAAGTTAGTGACAAAGCCAGGCTTGCAACTGTAGACTGGAACTCATTCCACAGTGACACGTTGCTTCAGAAATGAGTGATTCAACATTTTGGTTCTTCAATTTTTCCTCCTCTCATAAAAATGAGTTGATAATAACTATAGCCACCATCTGTCATCAGGGTTAGTGAGGTAAAATCATTTAGGCTATTCAAACAAAAGATTATCTTTACCAATTATCCTTTGTAGTCTGACTCCAAACCATGGAAATCACGACAATCTTCCTTTTGCCAGATGCTCAATCTATCTGCAAATTTTCATTGAAGCACAACTTGTTTGCAAAATGTAAAATTAGAAGTGACAGACAAATCTATTTTTATAAATCTTAGCCTGTCTATTTTGAGTCTCTGAATTTTAAAAGAAGAATTGAGGGCAGCTGTTGCACTTAACTGAAACGTTTAATGATGCTATTCTGTTTATTTCTAACTTACAAGATATAGCCGCATTTTCCCCGATATTAATAATATCCATGTAATACAGGGCACATGTAGAACTATTCCAGTCCTATAAGGGGCATGTTTTAGGCTAGCATTTGCTAGACAGAAGGCTAAGAAAGTAGTTGTGGTTAAGTAATTCAAGACTATCTAGAAACAAGAGTCCCCTTTTGATCTTGATATGTAACCTTAAATCAAATATCTTGTCTAGACTTAAGTTTTTTCATCTGTTAGAGATGAAATAGGTTATTTTTGATCATCCAACTATTAAATTTTAATACTTACAGCTAAAACAGTGCTCTCTACTTATAAACAGTCATCATAACTGAAAATTTGTTCTTAGAAGAGTAGACTGAACCATGTATAAGACTTCAAGTGCTGCAGGGTCAATCCTCAATCACTGATGTCCACTAAGCTGTTCCTACATGCAAGGTAATGTAGCAAAGTATAGTACTTGGTGTTCTGTGGGCCTTGGTCTCTAACTGAAAGAAAAAAGAATGTCTCAGATCATTCCTATTTAATACATAATTGGCATCATGAGCTCATGATGCAAAACTAGGTAAAAAGTTCCAAGTTCTACCCAGTCACTTACAATATCCACACACATTTCCAATGGAATTCCACAAGACAAAGGTGTGGAATGAGAGTGAGAGTTCTAACATCAACCACAAAGAGCCCAGTAACAGAATTGAAAGGTGCTCAAACAAAAATCTCTCCCAGCTCTCTGTCTCTGCTTTTTTTTTTTTTTTTCCACAACCAGGAATCTAACACTCCTCCCCTAAACCTAAATGGTTGTAATTTTGCAGCATGGATTTTTTCTTTTCTTTTTTTTGTAAACTGCAGTCAATTGATTACTACAAAACTGCTCTCTATTAATTGCTCATCCATTCCATCCCTTAGCCAATGTATGTCCCTCAAATAGAAACCTAACCTACTTCACCTTCCCCTCATTTACCCCAAATCTTTCTACTTAACCATCAGAATTATTTAAATTTTTTTGAGAGATTTTTGCTATAGGGTGCATGCGCTCATCAGAAAGAGAGACACAGAGAGATAGAAAGCGAGAAATCACCCCCCCCCAGGGGGGATGGCCAAGCCACAATCCCTTCTCCTCCATTCTCCTCTCGGGATCGTGGGCATGCATGCACATGTGCCTGGTGCGAGTTTAAGCCACCGGGTCCGGGACTCAAACTGCAGTTGACTACATGGAAGTCTAGGGACATAGCCATTACACTAACTGCTGGTCCCAAAAGACATGGGCTCGTCAAGGGAGACAGAGAGAGTGAGATGGACTCAATGCCACAATCCTCCAGCCTCCATAGGTTTTTGCCATAGGCCAGGCACCACCATGCCCCTTAAATTTAGGTAAATAAGAATCTTCAAAGCTGAAACTCCGTGTTTCCTCTGGCTTTCCAGGTTAGAAATTTGTGACGGAGGGAACCAGCAGTTAGCATAATGGCTATGTTGCTGGACTCCCACGTAGTGGACCGCGGTGCGCGTCCCGGACCCGGTGGCTTAAAACTCACGCCGGGTGCGTGCCCAAGATCCCGAGAGGAGAATGGAGAAGAAGGGGTTGCGGCATGATCATCCCCCCTGGGGGGGGTGATTTCTCGCTTTCTATTTCTATGTCTCTCTCTGTCTGGCGAGCGCATGTGCCCTATAGTGAAAAAAAATCTCTCCAAAAAAAAGAAATTTGTGGCGGAATGAAAGGAGAATTTTCCAAAGTACATTAAGTGTTCATACTCTGTTAAAACCATTATAGTGTGTGGGACCAGCAGGTGGCGTGGTGGTTAAGGCGCTGGACACTCCCACATGGCCAACCAGGGTTCAAGTCCTGGACCTGGTGGCTTGCTTTCTCACTTCCTCTCTCTCTCACTCTCACCCTCTGTCTCTCTCTGGTCAAATTAAAAAATCAATGA